CCGGTCATGTTTCTATCGATTAGATTATTTAACTATTTAAATACTTTAATTAAAACGTTTAACTTTAACAAAAAAATAAATATTTCAATCAATCATTGACGGTTGAATTTTTAACAAAAAAAAGTGTCACGACGGTTAAAATACTTGAAATAATTATATTTTCACTCATAAATTAAGAATTATCTAATTGATAGTGTAGTTTAACCTTCTAGAAAATATGCAATATACTAAGTTTTTTAATTGTCGTATCACTTTATCGTTAAAAATTGATAAATGATGATTAAAGTATTTAAATAGTTGAATAGTTTGATTGAAATCAAAATATCGATCATTGAAATGAAAGAATAAAATATTAAAGTAGTTTTACTCTTCAACCAAAATTTTGCCCAACCATGGACTATATCAACAAATATAAAGTAACTGCTAATGGTTGAGTTGTAGCATTGCATGGTTTCAATAATTCAGAGACCGAGTATTTCTCGCGCAAAACCTTCGAAAATTAGGACTCAACCATAAATTATGTAGGGTAAATTATGCATTTAGTACTTAAACTATCATTTTTGTCTGTTTTAATATTTAAACTTTTATTTTTTTTCAAAATATATATAATGTTTAATTTTTGTTTCATTTAGTATCCCGCCATTAAAAACTTAAGACTTTTAGTACTTAAACTATCATTTTTTGCATTAGTATCTAAACTTAAAAAAAAATCAAAATCTAACGTTAAATTTTGAACAGAGGTACTAGAATGAAACAAAAACTAAATTTTAAGTGACTTTAAAAAATAAAATAAAAGTTAAAAGTACTAAAATGGATCAAAACTACTTACGTACTAAAAGCTAATTTACCCATTAATGTAATGACTACTTGTATATATAGAAGACTTTATTGCAATATTTCAAAGTCGATATTATTTTGTTCATGTAAATATTGAAATATTGTATTTTTTAATCATTAAATCTAGGAATTTTACTGCATTAATTAAATGTTACAAATAAATAGTAAAAAAAACCCCATAATAAGCACTATTAATTATCAATAAACAATTTTTTATTGAAACATTTAATGAGGACTTTGACATGACAAGTATCATAATTTTATTGGATATGCATTTCATGCTTCACAAGATGAAACAAAAGAAATCATCCGAAGAGGGACTTTCAAGGATGTTTGGCAAGAAAGAAAAAACTGCACACTTCTTTCATTGTTGGTCGTAACTTCGGTTGTTGATTTAAGCATTGAAACTCCAAACGTACAACTTGAAAAGATTTGTGCACTAATTGGCTTGTCGGAAGCGTTAAACGACTATCCAACACATCAGTTAATTCATCATCAAAGAAATTGGCGATGACAATCACGATAACACTTCTTTTGGATGCTTCCATTAATGTTTCCAGTTCACCGCTCTAAAACTATAGACATCACATTTTTCAGTGACAACCATTTTATAGGCAAGTTTGTAGACACAAGTCAAATAAAATCCAAATAATTATATATACTTTAAAAAAAGTGTTAACAAATCAAGTTGCAGAAAGAGGAAACATCACCTGGAGCTATATAGCCAGGGGTTCCAACAAGACTCGTCTGGTTAGATGAATCGATCTAACATTCTAGCAGTTCAAAGTCAGCCACAAAGGCTTGAAAACTCTAGTTCAATAGAACATTGTTGCTTGATACGTCTCTATGAACTATTGGAGGTGTGCAATCATGGTGCAAGTAACACAAAAGCATGCGCCTGCCTTGATTATCTCAATCCTTTCATCAATCCATTTCCACCGGCTTCACTTCATCTCTAGGTTGTAGAACAAACTCCCTTTCTCCATGTATTCGTAGATCAAGAACATGGAGCGTTGGTGTAGACAAAATCCATGAAGCTTCACGATGTTTCGATGTCGTATTTGCGTTAGAAACTTGATCTCGTTCCTGAAATTCTTGTCGAAAGCTGGATTTTCTGCTTCTAAACGGTGAAGCTTTTTCAAGGCAACAAACTTTTCCACAAGGGAGTTGCACTCTGTAAACGCTTCTGTAACCACCTACTCCGATAGTAACGAAAATGGAAATCCTCTGTTGCTGCAATGATATCCTCGTATGCTATCTTCCCATCATAGTTCCATATGGAAAACAAATCCATGAAGCTTCACGATGTTTCGATGTCGTATTTGCGTTAGAAACTTGATCTCGTTCCTGAAATTCTTGTCGAAAGCTGGATTTTCTGCTTCTAAACGGTGAAGCTTTTTCAAGGCAACAACTTTTCCACAAGGGAGTTGCACTCTGTAAACGCTTCTGTAACCACCTACTCCGATACAGTAACGAAAATGGAAATCCTCTGTTTGCTGCAATGATATCCTCGTATGCTATCTTCCCATCATAGTTCCATATGGAAAATGTGTCCCCGTTCTTTTCCGGTTGCTGACCAGCACGGTTTTTCTTGGCCTTAAACCGAGAAAATAACAAACAACCAAGGGAGAAAGTACAAAAGATGGCAATAGGGACATATTTTGATATAGTAACGACTTTGGGCATTGTTGGTTCTCGAAGATTTCATACAAGGCGATAAACCCTTATTTCCTTCAAAAGGATTGGGAGAAATCTTGTAACACCCATTTCCGGCATCATAAATATAAAGATCAGTAGTATGAAGGTAGGGACAGTACCGGAGAGTTGGTTGAAGCTGAGGTCTAATATGATAAAGTAGAAAGCTTGGCTATCTGAGGGGATGGAACCATTCAATCTGTTTCGGGAGAGGTATAAGACAGTTAATGCATCTAAATTCCCAATCTCTTGGGAATAGAACCAGTTAATAGGTTTGAATGAAGATCCAAGTGGCTCAAGTTGGATAAATTCCCAATCTGTCTGGGAGTAGAACCTTGTAATAGATTTGAATGAAGCGACAAGTAAGTCAACTTGGATAAGTTCCCAATCTCTTGGGGAATAGAACCTTGTAATCGATTTGAATGAAGATCCAAGTATCCCAAGAGAGATAAACTACCAATACAAGAAGGGATTGAACCACTGAAGTGACATTGAGGGATGGAGCCTTCGAGTTGGTTGTCATAAAGGTACAAAGTTTCCAAATTGGTTAATTGACCAAAAGCAGAAGGGATTGGACCATTAATACGGTTATAGGAAAGGTCCAGAAACCGTAAATGGGTAAGGTTTCCAGAGGAGGAGGCAACTCACCAGATAAATCGCAAGTGGACAAGCCAAGGTACTCCAATGCCGATAGATCACCTATCCGAGGTGGGATATTCCCACCGATCTGTTGATCACTAAGATCAATTTTGATGATGCTTCCAGCGGGGTTGCATGAGATACCAGTCCACTTGCAACGTTGTGAAGCGTCGTTGCCATGGCTAATCCACCATCCACTCTCTAACACAGCTTTGGCTTCAGACTCCAATGGCGATTGATCTGCTGTTGGCATACTTGTAGCAAATGAAACAAGGATGGTAGCCCACAGTACTACAAGAATAATGGGGTTCGGTTGTAGTATTGCATTTTTTCCAGAGTAATGAATATACACAAGTTCATTATATCGCACCTTTTCCACCCATTGGAAAAATTTTGTCCAGTCAACGTGCCCTTTATTTCAAGTGTTTACTTTGACTTGTATTCTTTGTTGGACTAAGCTGTTGTATTCCTTCTCTTTTCCCTTTCTCTAATGCAGAAACCTCATGGAAACAACCGACATGGTGATTGGCTACACTTTTTTCAAACCGAAAAAGAGAGATCAAAATGGACACTCTCTATATAGTGTCAGCGTATGGTTTACTCTCTATATAGTATGGTATACATGAAGTATACTAAATTCTCAGTTTCATACATAATGTTTTAAAATTCTTGGTTTCATACATTGTGTGTTCTACCATTAATGAATTCACCTATTTCTGTCACATAAGTGATGTGGAACCGATGACGCTACTAAAATGACACGTGACACTTTAAAAAGTATATTTTTCAATTAATTTTCTGGATAAACTACATCAAATACCACCGAGCTTTAGGTGATGGATCGTTTATACCACTGAACTTTCAATTTTGCCAATTGTAGCACTAAACTTTGATTTTCGTTTCAATTATACCACTGAACCGATAAATCATTAACGACATGTTGCCGCTGACGGCTGCCAATGTGGATGACGACTGTGGACGTAGACACCTCACCAAAACAACGTCTTTTTGATCTGTCTATTAACGATTTAACAGGCTAGTAGTATAATTGAAACGAAAATCAAAGTTCAGTGTTATAATTGGCAAAATTGAAATTTCAATAGCATAAATGATACATTGCTTAAAGTTCGATGGTATCTGATACAGTTTGCCCAATTGTTTTTAAAATAAAACATATTTCCCCTTATTTCAACGGTCTCATTTTTTTTCTTTTAACCGCGTTCAAACCTCTATTCATCAGAAAAGTTCCATGATTTGAGTTGAATAGAGAGAAGTTCAAATTATCCACTTAGATTTCTTTCAGATTGAGTTTTTGGAAAGATTAGATTTAGGATTTCTATGCGAGCGAGTTTTCTTTGTCGATTTTAGTGGAGATTTGGGAAAAAAAGTGACAAAAAAAAAAGAATATTTGAAAGTGTAAGTATTATTTTTTTCTTCATCTTTTTTTTATAGAAATACTTAATAATATGAGTTAAATTTATCTTATGATGTATGTTTCTTGTATAATAGGCTTGGATTACATAATGACGGTAGACGAAACATTAATTATTATGCACATGAGTGACAACTTTACTAAGAATCCATATCAAGTTGCAGAAAAAGGAAACATCACCTGGAGCTATATAGCCACGGGTTCCTACAAGAATTGTCTGGTTAGATGAATTGAGATCCAACATTCTAACAGTTCAAAGTCAGCCACAAATGTTTGAAAGCTCGAGTTCAACAGAACATTGTTGCTTGATACGTATCTATGAACTATTGGAGGGGTGCAATCATGGTGCAAAGTAACACAAAGCATACGATGCCTTTGATTATCTCAATCATTTCGTTCAATCTATTTCCACGGCTTCCACTTCATCTCTTAGGTTACAGAACAAACTCCCTTTCTCCATGTATTCGTAGATCAAGAACATGGAGCGTCGGTGTAGACAAAATCCATGAAGCTTCACGATGTGCCGATGTCGTATTTGCGTTAGAAACTTGATCTCGTTCCTGAATTTCTTGTCCAAGGCAGGATTTTCTGCTTCTAAACGGTGAAGTTTTTTCAAGGCAACAACTTTTCCACAAGGGAGTTGCGCTCTGTAAACGCCGCCGTAACGACCAACACGGATATAGTAACGAAAGTCGAAATCCTCTTTTGCTGCAATGATATCCTCGTATACTATCTTCTCATCATACTTCCATATGAAAAATGTCCCGTTCTTTCCGGTTGTTCTCCACCAGGTTTATTCTTGGCCTTAAACCGTGAAAATAGCAAATAACTAAGAATGGAGAATGTAGAAAAGATGGCAATAGGGAGGCTTATTTTGATATAGTAAGGATTTTTATTGTTTTTTGCATTGTTGGATACCGAAGAATTCATACAAGGCGATAAACCCTTGTTTCCTTGGAAAGGATCGGGATACATCTTGTATTAGCCATTCCTGGCATCGACAATTTGGAGCTTAGCATCAGACAAGATAGGGGCATTACTAGAGACCTGGTTGAATGTCACACCCGAAATTTTTGGACTAATATTAATAATTCTTTGAGGACTAAATTATAAGAATTTGAGAACTTATGATCTATTTCATAATATTCCCATCAATTCAAGGACTTGAAGTGTGAATTATCCCTTTTATTTTAATTTCCAATTTTATTTCCCCCCAAATCAGAATTCATTTTATGAAATCTTCCAAAACTCCCAGTAAATCTGATCTAACTGTCCTATCGTCGTTCACATATCTCTGGCCGACGGTGGCGTGCATTGCCACTAGAGATGGACATGGGTCGGGTTTCAGCCAACCTGACCTGATCCGAAAATTTTATATCATTCACCCGACTCAATCCGACCCGAAAAATATGTACCTTCCACCCGTCCGAACCCGACCCGACATTTTGAGATAAAATCCAAACCGTCCACCCGACCTGAAATAATAAAAAAAATATTATTTTTATTCAATAAAATAATAATTTAATTGAAAAAATAATATATATAGAGGTATTATTGTAATTATTCCTAAATATATAAGGAATAATTATATTTTTTTCGAGTTTGATATTTTTCACCCTAAACCCGAATTCGACCAGACCATATTAAGTCAAATTGAATCGAAACCCATCGAATTCGAGTCCCATGCCCATCCCTAATTGCCACCACATCGTTCCCCGTTCAAAAACCCTCTTTCGAAAACTATAGCAGATCAACGTGGAGAACTCGGTGAAGCTCTATCAAAAACCTAAAACTCCCAGTTTCGTCTCGGTTTGATTTTGGCCACCATGGGAGTTTGTAGTCCATGTCGTCGCCACCAATCAACTCACCATCCCAGCCCGGTTAAAACCTGACCAGCCTCGCCCCGTTTAAGGCCACTGTTCGCCACGAATCAACTGCCAAAACTTCATCGAAAAGCCCTAAAACCGTCACAAATTTCACAATTTTTGCACCGATTCTGAGCTTCGTTCGCCTCACCATCAAGAATTATTTAATATACAACTGTTTATAAGAAAAAAAATGATAATTACATATTTATCCTCCAAAATTAGGGTTCTTCAATCACTATCAACTATCTAAGAAAAGAGCTCTCCATTTTCCCTTCATAATCTAACATTACCAAACTGATTAGACCATCATTTGATCCAATGCCAAAAATTCCTCTGTATAATTGGTGTATAAATCAGTGTCTTCAACAATGGATCACACCTTTGCTTCGTATGTCGATGAGTTGAATGCTCGATTACTCGAATGCTTAAGGAACACCGCATAGAACAGCTCGTTCCATGCGTCGGGTACTCCGGGTAGGCACCAATGACTGCAGTCCTGCCGATGAATCGGAGCCGGGCTTTCCTTGGGACCTAAATAATATAGCGATGCGTGACCGTCTTTCCTCGGAGCTGTCATTGGAGTAACGTTTAATATGTCGAGTTTTGTTCCGTTAGATGCATTCGAGTGAGTTGATAACACTCCTTTACTATATCGAGAAGTTCCCAAGTTTCCGTTGGCGCCAATGACACTCCAAGCTCTGGGAGTGTCTCGAGGTGGCAGCTTCCCCCGGTTTTCCAATCTCCCCTGCAATTGTTGTAGAAAAAAAAATCAATATGGATATGCAGAGGTCTAAACAAGCATGCAGATAAATAAAACAAAAACGAACCTGAAATGTACGGGAGCGAATGTGCGGAAGTAGACTCGGTCTTACTCGTATTCACCTCATTACGTATCCACTCCATCACGGTCTCTAAAGACCTCCTATATGCATGTTCTACGGTCATCTCGGTTTTGATCTTTTTCCCTTCTTGAAAGTAACATCCCCTGACCAGCGCAAACGGAAAAAAATTAACACCGGATTAAGGTAGTTCATTCCTTCAACCTATTACATCAAGCATACATGAATATATGAACACTGCAAACACCGACCCTCGGTTTACGTTCACGATCGACTTTCTCCTTCGTACTATTCCCCCTTGCTTGTGTCGTGTAAGAAACAAAACCCGAACCAAAAACACATACATTGAACTTATATGCAACCCAAATCAATAAATGAGATGGTGTAGGGTCCATTGTTGTTGAATGTTGGAATATCATTTAAAACTAACACATGCACGCATTCATGCCACCATATTTGAAATTTACCTTCTCCGATGGTTGCGACCGGGGCCGTAACGGCCCTACCAAGATAGAAGCAGATTTCATACATGCAAGTACTAAAGGAAAGCTGTTCTGTCACTATACCATGTAGTATCATTCCATTAAAACCCTAAAATTCCCATTCGGAATATCGACTGTAGGGGGACTCCTTTTATCCTAATCTACGAAACCTACAGCTACGGTGATCGATATGTCAGGCATCAACCATAAGCAACTTTACCTCCATTATATAACAATATAGAGATGAGAAGGCAATAAGGAATGCTGAGAAGGAAAGAAGAGAGTTTACGCTCTGACGGTCTTCTCGTAATTCCACCAATGGCCAGTATTGCAGACCACAAAATCGGCATCTTTCCACCTAATGGAATTCCAATCCATTTGATCCAACTTGAGGGTTGTCTTGATGTTTTGAGGAGACCCGGCAGGCGGCCTGCTCTGTAAGACGAGGAACGGAGACCGGTAGTACTCCACAGTGCAATTATAATCCTTGAACTTGAATACCAAGAACCCTTTATGCTTTGTAATTGGATTGCCGTTCACTTCGTATATCGATGCCTTATCATCAACCGCAGAAGCAATCATGCAGAGGAGTGATTCCCATTGGTTCCTTCCGATTGAATCCCCGACAAACACCAACCTCTTGTTCCGCAACTTCTCCAACATCACTTTTCCATCAAATCTGTTTGATCAATGCAAACAACACACAAACCAAGTATAGATGAAAGGTAAGTCCAATGTGACACCGCAATTAACAATGAAATCGACTTTTTTCGGCATATACCGAGAGAAACGGAGAATAAGAATCCCTTCTAGAAATAGAAAAAAGGCTTTACGTATGAAATCAAATGCAAGTACTACCAAAAGAGAAAGCAAGTTGCCTTCATTGTTCGAAAAAAGAAGCTTCAAGTCCACAATCGAGGCTTATCTACAGCACAAAACTACATGAATGGAACAGAAATGAACAATTGGTGAAACTGACATGAAAGGAAAAAGACAAAAACTTTATCAAAAATCACGGGATGCCACACCCAAATTGGCTCAACCATCAACCATTTCTAAATCAATTTGCTTTGCATATGCTATATCTTTTTCCTATCCATAATCCCGTGTTCCGTAGTCACATGAATTCGATTATATTCGAAGTCGAATCGAGACGCCTATCGAATATATATCACTAAAACCAAACCAACATGATTAATAAATTCTCCAAAATACATTTCAAGGAGGAAAAAGTTAGAACCTGGGGAGGTTACAATGCTTAGGCTGCCATCTCCACTTGGTGTAGAACAAATCTGGTCGTCCATTTTCAGTACACCTAAACCCTTCATCAAGAAAGCTGCAATCTCTAGATTCATAAAGAGGGTAACTCTCATCCCACACCCAATCACCATCAAACACGTCACACCCTTCACCTTCAAGGCTCAAGAAATCAACTCTTTTAATCTCACTAATTGAAGAAGGCGAAGAAGAAGAAGATGAAGAAGACCCATCTAGTTTAAGCCACATGAACCTTTCACTCTGATTAGGAACCCTATACCGTTCAGCCACAGCTCTATAATCCAAGTAAAAGAAGCAACAAATCACACAGACAGCAACGAGGAAGAAGCCGAGAACACCCACGGACGGCTCGAAGAGTCTGAACCGCTTGAACCTAGTGCAAAAATCGAAACTTGGCATGGTGTCATGGTCTTGCTGAACCGGAATTTTACACATTTGAATCTTTAAAAGGAAGATAAATCTGGGATTTGTATATTTTTTCGAAAAAACGATGAAAATCAGGGGGAAAAAAAGGAGGGGCCGATTGATATCTAAAGGTGTGTGAAGAAGAATAAAGAGATGTGCTTTTCAAGCAAAATGGTATTCATGTCCAATGGTGGTGAACCATGTTGAGTGCTTTTGGCTTCCTTGGTAGGTCAGTTTTATTTAAGCTATAAATGATGGGCAAACACCACAGAGAGAGAAGGATAACATAAAAACAAAGGAAAAGGCGTCAAAGAAGCTAGAGAGCATTCATGGTGGAGTTAAAGAATATATAAAAAACAACAACGACAACATCAAACTGGTAAAATGGATTAATTTCAAATCCAAGTATCAAAAAACATGAAGAAAAATCATTAGAAAAAAGAAAAGGAACTTTGGGGTTTAAGAAAACTTGATTGAGAAGAGAGAGAGTGGAGATTTGTGGGATTTAAACATGGGGGTGGCTGAGGTTTGAATTACTTTTTTTCATGTTTTTTTTTCAAGGAAATTAGTGGGGAAAGTGGGGACTTTTTTTCAACGAATGGGGTAACGGATAAGATTGAATCCCATTCTCCATTGAGCAAGTGGATGACACACTCGTCACTCGATTGTGAATTTGTTATTGGCGCGTTTATTTCACGTGCACTGAAGTAGGGTGATGACTGATGAGTTACGTTCAGTACGATTAGTCGGTTAATTACAGTAATCTACGGACGGAAGAGACAGACGACAACGTTGCCACGTTGGCATGAAAGGATAGCTAGGTGTATAATTTTCACTATTAAAACTTTAGGGTAAACTACGAGTTTAGTAACTATATTATTAGTTTTGATCCGTTTAGTACCTAAATTTTCAATTTTTTCAAAACTATAACTAAAGTTTAATTTTTGTTTCATTTTAGTATCCATTCAAAATTTACTGTTAAGTTTCCAAACAATTTGAAAATTATGTACTAAAGCGGGTCTAAATTGATAGTTTAGGTACTAAACACGTTAAGTTTTTAACTACGTGGTACTAAAATGAAATAAAAACTAAACATTAGGTATGCATTTAAAAAAATTAAAAGTTTAAGTACTAAATAGATCAAAACTGATAGTTTAAATACTAAATACATAATATACCCTTAAAAATTTAATAAACTACACCATATGTCATGATTTCTCGTTTATTCTATCGAACTTTTAAACTTTAATTTTAATTTCAACTATATTAATAGTTGAATAAATTTTAATGCCACTTTGATATGTCTGAAATGATATTATTTTAGAAGCTAAATTTTAACGGTATATCGATTTTGTCATTAAATTTTTATACAATTTATTTTTGGCTTATATCACAAATAAGTATCTAAAGTATATATTCTCTTTCATTTAAGTACCTAAAGTATTTGTTGGTCAAAATAAGTACCTAAAATTATTTTTTATCAAAATAAGTACCTAAAGTATTTTATGTCAAAGTAGATGCCTAAACTATTCACACTTTTTCATCTAAGTTCTAAAAAAGTTGACATTTGAT